TTTTTTGAGGAAAATATATTTTTCGGGAAAATCGTGGGTGATAGGAAAAATCCAAGGTCATCTTCGGATTTAGCGAGTCAAAATAATTAAAATCGATGTATAGCACGTCGCGAACATTTTTAAAATGTATTTTTAATAGTAGATGTCCAGGGTGCGCTTAGCACACCCTCACGGGTAGGCGGGGGTTCCCACCTGCACCGACGGTCACCCGCTTCACGGGTGAATTTGAAACTCGCAGCCAGCCTCCATGAAGTGATGTCATCACATCGATTAGTCACTTCATTAGTTTTTCATAAATGATTTACTTAAGTTTTTTCAATTGATTGATTTTTTTGGTGTTATTTTCATCTGCCTTTGATGAATGAAAAACATTTGTTTGTTGATTAAAGAAGAAAAAATATGCCTTGATGAGGAGTAAGCGTCCTAAATATGTAGGCTCCTACAATAGCAGCTTGTCATAAAGAATATTTTTTGTTGTTACATCTGCGCCAACAGTCGTTCCATTTTAGTGGGCAAACAAATATTTTCTCAGCAAGTGCCTAAGAAATCGAGAACGCTATTCAAGCGAGTGAGCGAAGCGTCTGACAGGACAGGCTACGGATGACTAATAAGCGAGGTGACTCGGACTGCTCTCGATCATCAAAACAAATAAATATTTTCCTCCTCTGTGGACTGTGCCTCTGCGAAGTAAGCTCCGCCCAAAGTCACCATGGATACCGACTGGAGTGGCCGCGCGGCCGTATTGCATCGACGCTCGCTCGAAGAATATTTATCCCTTTAACGGTCAATTCTGTATTCCCATCTCACCGATTCATCTTAGAGGTTCATCAAGGTTAACTCAGTAAAGATAAAGTTTGAGTCTGGTAAAGCTTTTACACAAAAGGCTCGGAAAAATCGACTCTACCGGAAAACAGGGGGGGGGGGGGGTGATGGAAAAAAACCGAGGTCATATACGGATGCAGCTGCCTTAAATACATAGGAATCACTGTACCACGGGTCCAGAATATATGTACAAAAAAATTGCATGCTTGTTAAATATACGTCAAATTTGCTCATTTTCTCGGGGAAAAGTGGCTTTTCTAGAAAACTGAGAGGTGATAGGGTAAAATGAAGGTCATTTTTTGACTTGGCGGCTCAAAATACATCCAAAAAGCCCTATCTTGTTTCTGAGATAAATTTTATCTACATTTTCCAGGGGATAAAAGTTGCAAAAACACCAAAATAGCCCCAACATGACCATTTTCCCTAGTAGAATCGGCTATTCCGGAAAATTGGAGGATAATGGATAAAAACGGAGGTCACATCCGGAATCAGCGCCACAAACTATTGATGGTTCATCTCATCTCGTCCGGGAGACATTTTAGTAATTTTTACTTTCTCGCTCCCCTAGGGTAGAGAGGAAGTATTGTCTTCCCCCTAGAAAAAGAAAAAAGTTGAAATTTCATCATTTCTAGACGTCTTAAGGTCCCAGGAGTCAAAATAACCACACTTGAAAAAATGTGTTTCCGTCCCTCCGACGTCCCCCAAATCTGTCTACAGCGATATCTCAGAATCTATCTGTTCGATTTCATTCAAAATTGGCACAGAACACCATTTCTATGGTCTCCTTATGCACGTCAAACGATTTTGGAGTACTGTAAAATTTGGGGGGGGCTACGCTAAATTGTCCATTTTTAGCAAAATCACAGGGAACGCTCATTTTGAAGGACTGTAAATTTTGAAAAATGCCTTTAATTCTTTAACAATGGGCATCAAGCACATCACCTGGGTCATTCATTTAAGTTCCTTAAAGATCTTTGGACTAAACTCAAAATTCAAGGGATTACGAGGCCCAAAAGTAGGGCACTTTGCTCCGCAACATCACACAAACAGCTCATTTTCAAGGACTGTAAATTTTTAAAAAAAATGCCTTTAATTATTTGAAAGTTGGCATAAGAGCACCACCTGGTTCAATAATGTAAGTTCCTACTAGGTCTTTGGACTAAACTAAAAATTGAGGGGTTACGCGTCATTTAGTAAGGGCACTGCGAAATCATACAGAATATATGGACGGTAGATTTTGAAAAATGCCTTTAATTCTTTGAAAGTTGGCTCAAAAGCACCACCTGAGTCATTAATTTAAGTTCCTAAAGGATCTTTGGACTACTCTCATAATTGTAGAGGGGCCGATAAGAAACGCTCAATTCTCTGATAAATGAGTCGGAACGCGCCTAGATATTAGCAGTAAACGCTTTGAGTCAGGTGAAACCTAGGAATTCAAATGCAGTATATAATGCATCATATATTATCTCCAAAATTACTCCGTAGGTATACACCAAGCAAAATTAGACAACTAATTAGGTACTTACATTACATACTATGAATCATCGAAGCTAACGCAAGAACTGACACTAAGATCTTTATTAGAAACTAATATGTTTGTTGTTAATGAATTTAGAATCCCGGCAGATTCTATCTTTCGCGGTTCCTTTTTACGAGGTACTGAACACAAATATAACATAATAATACTGCACAAACATGATTGATTTAATGATTAATGATTACATAATGCGATTTTGTTTACATATCATTGCACTGAGGTTTATCACGGACTGTTTGTGTTGTTGGTGTTTCGACTTCGAGATACGGGGAGTGGACACGAGCTAAGGAGGTGGCGCTCTCGGCGGGCGGGTGGTGAACTATCAGCGGAGAGATTTTGACCGACAAATTTAAAATTTGGGCGATGCTAAGCGAAAACCGTTTAGTTTTACGACTATTTAAATAGCCATTAAAATAGTCATTCTACCCATTAAAGTAGATTTTTGATGGCTCTTGACCGTGCTTAAGGAAAGATTATAATTTATAATCGTATCTGAAGTATGATGTCAATGAATCTAATGGAACCTAATGAATCGTAGAAAAGCTAAGATTTTTACGGATCGCCGTCTTTAATAGGAGGCATCATTAATCAATTACATATTTAATCGAAGATGCCTCATGATATCGACAAGTCGAGTCCGAATATATGAATTCATTACATATCACGAAGACATTCACAATGAAGTTCAGTGGTTTGAATAAAAATTTCTTAACTATTATCCTGCGATCAAAATTCGAATCAAACTTTATGATTTTGTGAAATGGGCAGTATTATTCTTAATATTCCAGTAAAAGTGCCCATGCCGGCGCGGAGCGCCGGCAAAAGCGAGTAAGTGTTGTGCGATCCTCGCACCATGATGGGGGGGCGAAGCCCTCCCACATGCCAGCGCGAAGCGCCGGTACGCGGCGCTTGCGCCGTACATAAATTGGCCGGAGGCCAATTTTTTTTGTAGAAGTGGTTTTTACTCGAGCCCATTGGACCCATGGAATGGGATGAACAAATGCGTTGTTTAATACGAGGAAAGCGACACGCATGAGATGCAGGGGTTAAAAAATTTTTTAAATTAAAAAATTAAAATCAGCACGCCTCCAATACATTAAATAAAGGAAAAATACAGTCTCGGTCTACCAATAACACCACATTGACACCTCATTTTTTCCTTAAAAGTTCGCTCTGTCGAACGACGCTTAAGACGAAAGTCCGCTTAAGTCGAAATTTTTATTGATCCTTCGACAATTCTACGAAACGAACTTTTAATTTATTTATTTTTCCGGTTGATAGTGAAACTTTAATTCATTTTTAAACGTTCCGAGTTTTTTTAATTTATCCTCTGTTTAGTTGCAGCTTTTCAGTGCACCCCACATCATCCTTATGGGAAATCCCCCCAACCCTGCTTTAGGTGCAGCACCATTGACGACCAGGAAGGCAACTGCAGACGCGTTCGGGTTCAACCCGAATCCCGGAACGCATGTTGGCTGCTATATCCCTTACTCACTGTCTAACTGAGACAACCTCCTGTTATTGTGTGCCCAACTCGCGGAACTGCGCGGGAAATCGATTCCCTCAAACTCGGGTTATCGCCGCCTTACCTCACTTTTTGACGCGTATTCTTGACATCTTTGGTATCGATGTAGCAGCTTCTTGATATCTTCCACGTAGTAACTTTTGTTTCGGCATTGAAACTAGTCATTGACATCGCACTGCACTTCCGAATCAGTTGCAAACTGCCTTTTACCGAGGAAGGTTTTCAGCTCAAGAAACACAAGAAAGTCATTTGGAGCTAAATAGGGAGAGTACAAAGAATGGGGAAAATTCTCCATGCAAAGCGGTTTGCTACTGACTAAAAAATGCCGTGCGTTCTTAATAACTGGTTTCGTTGCCAAGGTGAAAGCTTCTACGCGAAAGTTATTAAGAAGCTCCCACATCGATAACCAGATATGTCAAGACGGAGATGGATCGAATGGATGGTCGAAAAGTGAGGTAGAATCTTATCAATTAAAAGCCGGAATTTCTTATTGATGTGATACTTTAGAGCGATAACCCGAGTTTGAAAGAATTGTCTCTCTGCGCATCCGGAGCCCCGGAGGTGGGTACGCGGTGACAAGAGGTTATCTTTGTCAATCAAATTGAGTTTTTTCGCAAACCCCTGAACTGAATTCCAAACTTGCGAGCTTTTTAAAGCTTTGAGTATCTTCAATGTGTGCAGTTTTACTGTTTTGACTTGTGTGCAGTGTAGGGAACCTTACTTTTCAAATTACCCTTGTATTTTGAAAATAATCCTCTATTTATAAAATTACCAAAATATTTTGGAAATAAAACCACAGGTAACACTTTTAAAATATTTTGGCCGCGTTTAAAGACAACATTCAGGGAGAAACGATGGAGACATTTGTAATATTATTTGAAAAATCCAATGCCACCTAGCTGGTTTCAATAATTAAATTACAGGTAGGATGCTTTTGAAGAAAAAAAAACAGAAACTTCCAGGAATAAATCTTTCAATATTTTTTCAGCTGCCTCATTTCAGTGTGTCTAAAACACCTCTTGAGTGTCAACTTCGAGGTGTATATATGTGGGAAAGATTCATGTTCTTTGTTTATGTTTTTTAATTTTAATGTATTTTTCTTCCTCAATTATACAGCCAGTGCTTTTGGTGCACCTCCAACATTCGGTGGTGCTCCCTCATTTGGCTCCTCAGCTCCAGCCTTTGGTGCTCCAGCTGCCTTTGGTTCTCCTTCAAGTGTATTTGGCTCTACCTCACCAACGAGTATGTATTCTTTTACCTTCTTAGGATTTACTTTAAAACTAAACTGTATTGAGTGAAAAGAGAAATTGTTTTGGATACTTTGATTCTCTGCAGGTTAAAAATAGGAAGTCAATTGAGTGGTGAGAAAACTGAAGACTCTTGCTGTCTCCCGCATAATTTTAGTGTGTAGTTCTGATATGAATGGCAGGTTTACAGGGAGTTGGATCAAGGAGCACTCGGAGTGAAGTTGTGATAACTAAATTAGAAGATCATTCTATGATAGGACATCTGCATACATATAAAAATTGATTAGTTATCAAATGTGCATCAAGTCGGGTGCTTACCTTCGCATCTGACCAAAGGAATAAAAAACCAGACACATCATTGACCTCTGATGGTGGATTTGAGTCAAATCGCAATTTCTGTTATAAATGATGAGGTAATTTAGAATTATTCACTTGATCTTTTACCTTTATTAAAAATGTATTTGTCGTGAATCAAAATACCAAATGACATAACTAAGGTGTTTGATAGTTAGAATTGTTTACACTTTTTAAGGAATTGAAATTTAGGTTTCTGGGAAACTTGCTGCTTGATTTTTAGAAGGAACACATACATTACCTTACTTCGCTATTTCCTCATCAGATACGATGTAAAGCTGTATTTGTTGTTTTGATATTTCAGGTACCTTTGGTGGAGGAGGTGGGATTGCCAATCAGTCGTCACCGACTAATGCAACTTTTGAGAATCTTGCGAAGCAGAACACTGTCAGCTTTGGTAATCTTGCTCAAAATCAAGCTCCCTCTGGTTTCAGTAACACAAATCTTTTCGGCAGTTCTCCTCAAAATAGTAATTCTTTCCAGAAGCAGACATCTCCTCAGTTTGGGTAAGTGTTTCAACTGCAATAATTTTATTGTCAAAGATTGCGGCTGCTTACATGATTTACTCACCTTGATTAGTAAGGAATGGGAGAAATGTAAATTGACAATAAACTTTTGGGTTGCATTGCATACTAATGCCCTCCGACTGAAGATGTAAACCCAAAAACCGCATTCGAGATTGTGAAGAAAATCGAAAGTCAAGGCTTAAACCGAAAACTGAACTCATAAATTTCTGGCGGGGGAAAATGGTGTTTGCATTAAGGATGCAATCATACAAATTTTTTTTAAATATTCATCAAAGGAACAAGGAAAGTGAAAAGTCTCTATTTTCATGTATTTATGGCCAAGAAACCTAAATTTGATGTTATAAATGTTATAGTCCCTAGTATTTTACTGAATATTATCTTCGTATTTATGTTGCTGTGATTTCTGTGAAAGTGCCTTGAGGGAGGATTCCTCCCAAGAAAAAGAGGTAAAAAGCATTGACGCCTGAAATATTCGAAAACCTGACGATAACCCTGTTCCGGACTTCGCGAACAGGGTCACAGGGACCTGAAAATTAAAGTTGGCAGGAACTTCAATGTTCAGGCTCCTCGCTCCTGTGACCCTGCTCGCAAAGTTTGGAACCTCAGATATTAAAATTGGTTCGACTAACAATTCACATTCCTAATAATGATGCTGAAATGATGGTTAGGCGACTTCAACTCTTTTTCCCCCGGGATCGAAAAAATTTAGACCCTGAAAGGAAAGTGCCTCATCATAATTTTGCGAGACCTGCGGGAATAGGGACAGAGCAGGGATCTAGAAAGGGATGCCATACTGGGTGAATTGAAACCTCTAACTGTAATGTTCACAGCGAGATTCAATGCCTCAAAGCTAAAATAATACGTCATGAAACCATATTAAGTACAATCCTTATAATATGACAGAACCGTGATCCAGCGTTGACGCCGACTTCGGCCGTTGGTGTCTTCGACTTCCAGCGCTCCTAACTTCTGTAAAAACAGTCATTAGTCCAAAAATTGAGAGTCTTTCTTGTAGCATTTTTCGCTGACTTCACTTTTCCACGACCATTTTCGCCGAAAAATCGCCCAGAAAAAATGGTGTTCAGGAAAAACGACAAAAATGACAATTTTTTCAAATTTCCGCGGTTTTCAGCGCGCTCTGGTGGACGGTACATGCATTGTCTCAAAACTTTGATGCATGTTTTAAAATCAAAATTTAACGTACTTTCGCTTTGCAGAACTTTATTTGTCGTCCGACGCACAGGGAACGAGTTATTACCGATTCTTGGACAAAAATGAGATTTGGCAACGTCTTTTCAAGATGGCGGCTTTAGCGGCAAAAATCGAAGGTAGCAAAGTTCAGATTCGAACTTAGCGCTAAAAAACACATAGGATACATATGCTAGAGATTTTTTTCCAGAATGTGGAAGGTAAACCCCTATTTTGGGATAGGTTGGCTATGGACTATTGTGCATTCAAATGAGGCAGAAAAGGTCGATTTTAGCAACTTTCGGGCGGTCTGGCAACCCTTTCCCAGCGGAGTTCGACGGTCTGGCAAGGTAATATCTACTCAGGGAAGTCACCCCTACAAAATGAGACTAAAATCAACTATAATACTTTCCGGTTAAAATTTGCGCAATTTTTCGGAACTTTCGGGCGGTCTGGCAACCCTTTCCCAGCGGAGTTCGACGGTCTGGCAAGGTGATATCTAATCAGGGAAGTCACCCCTACAATATGAGGCTAAAATCAACTATAATACTTTCCGGTTAAATTTTACGCAATTTTTCGGAAATTTGATGGGTCTCAAATTTTGAACCCAGCGGCTATGACCAGCCAGACTGCCCGATCCTTGCTACACTCGAGTTTCCCGATCTAAGAATGTATGTGAAAATTCTTATACTCTCCGGTTAGATAATTCGGTGCTGGCTCTCGGTCTAATATAATTCCGTTCATCACTCCCGGGTCATTTGGCTCGAAGGGGTGTAGCCGTTTCAAAACCGTTAAGAAATTATGCTACTTTAAAGTTTTTGACTTTGACCCCCCCCCGTCTCCCTTTTCCCTTGGGGGTTAGGCAAAAAATATGACCAGTTTTGAGTGTCCGGGAAGACCCTCTTTCATCCCTGAGGAAATCGTAGGATTCCGTGTTTAGGGCGATTTGACCGTTTTGTCGTAGGGTCCTTTGAGATTAGAAGTGCTCAAGTATGAGTAATCAATAGACAAAGTCTGAAGAAATTCTTGAGGGGGGGGGGGGCGAAAAAAGCCATTTTTGCATCAAGCTCCTTAAAAGTTCAGAGTCCCTCTGTGCCCCATCAGAAAAGTCTCTAAGGAAAACGGGACCCTCAAATTTGGATTTCTTGGGGTCGATTTCCCTCAAACACACATTTTTTCCGAGTCTCCACGTCAATTCAACGAACTTGAATTTTTTGAAAGGGGGCTCTGTCCCCCACCTTTAGGGGTCGGTATTCTGGACACGGATGGACCGATTTTGGATTTCTTGGTGTCGATTTAAGTTAAAAATTCCCGTACGTTCTAATTCCGATGAAATAATTTCAAAATTTTGACATAAACCCTGACTTTTGAAGTACAGACCCCCCCCCCCTTTAACCCCCTAAGGTAAGCCAGGGGGGCTCTGGGACCATGAAATTCGGAATTCTTGGGGTCGATTCCATACTCATCCCCGCGATCCTGGACTCCGTACGACCCAAATTAACCAAAAAAAAGGCCTGGTACGGTAGGTCTGGGCCACCCTGTATAAGCTCCAATAGAGTACCTATATAGGGAGAGTATGAACAACTCGAAATTTGTAGCTCTTAGGGCCCAAAAGGGTAGGTAACATTTGAAAACGAAAAATGTCACTGTCAATCTTTAGACTCCAATATAGAACGAAAGTGGACAAGAAAATTCATAAGTAAGCATTTCTTCCGCAAAAATGAGTAAGTTTATACAAAAACCAAGTCAAATACGTGCTTTACCAACGACAGGTCTGAACAATTATGATTATAAATCACTCTGTATAATTTGAATTCATAGATTGCCTACCCTTTTGGGGTCTAAGAGCTCCATCACCTAACAAATCACCTCAAAATTTTCGCCATGTCCATACTCTCCCTATATAGGTACTCTAAGCTCCAAGACCTCCTAAATTTGCGTATCTGGTAACGTTTAGATCCAGTGTTCTACCGGACCGATTTTCATGATTTTTGCACCTATCGACGGCAATTGTTTCTAGATGAGCCCGCTTTATTTAGATTTTAAAAACATGACCCAGCTTTTTTTATACTACATGTTAAAGTTGCAAAATCTCCCATTTAAACAATGGAATTTTTTATTTTTTGTCATAGTTCGTTTGAGCGTTCTACCAGGCCGATTTCCATGTTTTTTGCCATTATCGACAAGTAGCAGTCCCTAGATGAGCCCATTGTAATCAGAATTACAAATAGGACCCAGGTTTTTTTATATTAGAGGAGATCAGAAAGTTTGAAAGGGGGGCAAAATTTGAAATTCCCGCCAATGAAAAATGGCGGGAATTTGAAAAAATAATGAACTTAGCGGGAAATGTTACGCATCCATTTTTGGCCAAACGCATCCACCAAAGGCAGACGCGGGAAAACGTTCCGTCAAAATATCACGTGACTAGTCATGTGATAAGTGGGAACTGGGAGTTCCAAAAAATTGCATATGGGCGACCTTTTGTTGTGTGCCGTATTGCAAGTGAAGTGTCGTGTAGCTTGGAAAATAAAAGAGAAAAAAAATTTAACCTGATTCTTCTACTATAAATAAACCAGCAAACAGTAATTATAGAACTATAACCTATCATTTTTTGAATAACACCATTATTTAGCCCTATAAACCTTCCCAAAACTGTTGAACTAACCCTAGCAAAGAAAAATCTTGAAATAGAAAATAAATAATATAGTAGGATCAAGGGAATCAACTTGATTAAAGTAGATAAAATAAAAAACCTTATTCATTCAAGTTTTCCACAAATTAAAATAAACCAAAAATGGAAAGGACATAACCCCATCTTAATTATCAACCCTAGAATTAAAATAAACCTATAGAAATGACCCAAATTAATTTATAAAAAAAATAAATACAAGTATCATTAAAGAAAATCTCACTTGAACAAGATAATATCTTATTTTTATTTCTCTAACTCTTCATCCTCTTCCTGATGTACACAAGCCCAAAAATAAACTAAGACATACTTCTATAAGATATCAAATTATTAATCAATTATTTATAGTCCAGCTTATAAAGCTAAACGTAGCTACTAGATAAATTAATAAGACTTTTATATACTTCACTAGATAAGAGATTTTATTAACCTATGATTGAAATATGAATCCAATAACTTAGATTAGCTCACATGTCTTTAGAAATACGTGGTCTCTCCGGGAAGTATCAGGACTTTTTGATTATCTCGGAATGTAATGCAGATAATGTGCTGAAACTTGGGTTGGACTTTGCCCATGTCCTCTCCAATGCAGCCACACAATCGGGCTTTCTCGATTGCAATCAACTGATCAAAGTGTGTGTGTTAAGTGCTATCGTCAAGTTTTTTTTTTTTTTTTTTTTTTTCGTGAAATGACCGAGCGTGAAGATCAGAGAATTTGTATTAAATTTTGCTTTAATCTAGAAAAAACTGCCAAGAAGACCATGGAAATGATTCGGAAAGCTTTCGGCTCTGATTTTATGAGCAAGAGCAATATTAATGAGTGGTATAATCGCTTTAAATCGGGTCGTGAAACAGTCGCGAGTGATCCGCGGTCCGGGAGACCTTCGTCGACGAAATCTCCCGATAACGTAGAAAAAGTTCAGGACGCTATTGCCCAAGACAGTCGATTAACCGTGCGGGAACTGGAAGAGCAGCTAAATATCCCGGAGACCATCGTTGCGGAAATTTTAACTGAAAAACTCGGGCTCCGGTGACTGGATGCTCTAACATGACAACGCTTTGGCTCATTCCTCCTGTTTTGTGCAACAGTTTTTGGCAAAGC